TTTCTCTAAACGCCTGTCGATAATCGTTGTATAACAAATCTTTTGCACATTCCATTCCACTAATACTCATGCACACATCAATCGAAGTTTTATCTCGAGCAGATTTTGCGCCGTGAAAATGAAACAGATATTTACAGCAATAAGGTCCAAAACATTTCATTTTAACGTGTATTGAAATAGCCTTTCCAGAGAAAATAAATCCAATCATAGGAACCCAACTTTTTTTTTGAAAAAATCTTGAATGAAAAATAGAACCTTAATTTGTCATCATATTTGGAGAGAAAAGTAATTTTTACGTCTCTTACACTGACACCAACGGAGAAAAGGTGGGAAGTCGGTTAGGAAGTAAATGAAGCAGTGGGTTGGTTTCACTTTGGTATTCACAGATAGCAGATCATTCTTAGAGAAGTCATAAAACTGTCACATAATCTCTGAAGAAATCATCACCTGAACAGAAAATAAGTTTGATGCTTTGTGAAAAGTATAAAGCCACTAACTACAGGGGAAGCAGAAATGAAAGCAGCAGAAGCAAAAAACCGAAAAAAAAATAAAAAAACAAGAAAACTACATAATGACGCATCGTACACAACCAAAAGTCCATGAAAAACAACAGGGAGCGCTGTCGAATACTCCCGAATCCGCACGGGTTGTGGCCTCCTTTTTTTGTTTCGTTCCGCGAGTTACGGAGTGTTGTTCAAAAAATAAAGGAAGAATTAAGAAAGTATAATTGTTCGCTACCTGTTCTTCAAGAACGACTGGCCAACGTATTACTGAATTTGTAACGATTTTTGAGGGAAAAGGGTTCCTTTCAGCTTTGCAACACGTCACGAACACTTGGAAACATAAGAGCTTACTTTAACATTTCTAGCTCCACAATACCTAAGTGCTTTAACAAGAACAGTGTATGTGTGCATCAATCGCCATTCCTTCCGTTGGTGTTAGATACAGTGGTGACTCAACAAAGTATATGTAGTCGCAGAGCCTTACTTTTTGTATGTTGTAATACTGGTGACAAAGTTATTCCATCGCGTAGATAGACACGGTTTCTGAGTCTCCCTTTTGAATCGCTTACTCTTGTTGGCGACTGGCTGAAGTTCAATACGACCGTACCCGGATAACCTAATCGAGCTTCCCACAGATGATGCTAATATGCAGTCTGGGTTTCAGCTTGGTTCTTCATTAAGTGTCCAATCGTGTTTGTAATTATGCATGGCCGCAGTAAAAAGCATGTTGCGATATTGATCGTATCGGTGTTTTGCAGCCTTTTTGTGTGATGATTCAGTGTTTTTTCTTATTATCTTTATGATGTTGCTGTGCTCAGGAATCCTCACTGCCCCTCCCTTTTGCGATTTTTAATTGCTTATGGCAAGAAAGATTAAGGAAGGACTCGTAGACTTTATTAAAAAAAAAAAAAAAAAAAAAAAAAAAGGAATTGAATAATTCTTAGCAAGATGTAAAGGATTCCTGTTGGGCATAACAAATTAAAAAAGCAGAAACTCTCAAGTTGGTTATTCAAGTGTAACTTACCCCGATCCAAAGTTAATGATTGAATATTAAAGCTGAGCTCACTTGAATATTTCAACTTGAAAACTTGAATATTTCAATAAAATGCAAACATGTACTCCAAAATGTCAGCTGGCAATAGTGAGGCAAAACTTCGCGTAGCATGAAACGAAATTTCCACTTAAAGCGCATGATTCAATCTGACAGCACCCCATACTTCTACAATACCTCGGCCCTGCAAATTGTCAGCGTACTTTCACTAGAATTCAACTTCGTCTAAATCACTTATTTTCCATTTCGCGTTCGCTTTTTGTGTAAGGCGTTCGTTGTATCAAGACTTATTGTGTTTTTGTAATTGCAAGGCGCGAGGGCAATTAAGGATTAATTTGATGCGTATTTGCAACGTTTTCCCAAAATTGCAAGAGTCGATTACCAAAAGTGCCCCCGTTATTAAGAAACAATGCCCTATGTCTCGGTCAATCAGCGTTGCGTAATTCTGCCCCACTTTTGACATCTCACAGCGAGCGAGTGAGATGTCGAGTTGAACACGAGAAGAGAAATTTCATATCTAAATTAATTCTTAATTTACTTTTCGCCAGTTGAAACTGAAAGGAATAAATTCGCCAATGACGTTTTTCTCTTTGTACTTCTTGATCTCATTGACTCAGAAGCCTTAAATGCATATCGCTCAAACTAATCAATGGATTATGGCTTTCCAACCACACTGTCTGTTTAAATGGTCAAAATTCAATTCAATTACTTATTGAGAGCAAACAGTTATCACAGGTAATAAGGTTGGTAATTTCAAGTTATTGCAACTCCTTTGTATTTGAACCTTTTAACTCCCAAGATCTCATAAGTAATTCTCCCTACTGTCTGCCATAAAATATTTATGATATCAGTTGGGAGAATTTGGGCTTGTAGTCCTCTAATTGAGTTTTGTTCTTTATTCTCCTCACTTGTCTGCTTGATTCTGTGTTGATATTGTAAGGAGAAATTCTGTCTTGGTCACTCATGAGAGTTAAAGGGTTTAGCCAAAAGTATTGATTGGCCTTAGAGAATCAAAACACCTATTCCTCACTTAACTATAAAACTTGATTTCCCAATTTTAACTATATTAACTAACTGGAACCATATTTTATTCAGGTGCAATTTTTTTTGTAGGCAGCACGGAAAGACAACGTTCAGTTTAACTCATCTTCATTATTAGAGTACAGCTGTATTTAGAGCCATCATGTGTAAACAGATCAAGGAAGTTCTACTCTTGTGTAAATAAGAGAGCATCTTTCTCTGCCATTTCTGTTTGTTGTCATCTGAGTGCAACATGCTGGTTGACTGAAACAACTTTCTTTGTTTTAATTAGTCGCATTGCTATCAAGGAAAATGCAGCGAAATTCACGAAACTCAGAGCAAGGATTTGTGGGGAGCCAGTACGTTGAAATGATTGTTTTTATTATTGCACTGCTACGCCATTTTACCATTTATATCTTTTACCATTTTACCATCATTCTACCATTGAAATGCGCAAGATGTGCCACGGCACTAAATACACCGTAGAACAGGGCAAAACTGTGGACGGAAAGTGGAGTAAAAAAATGGCCGCACAGAACCAACGAAAGTGACCCTTTTTTTCGCCTTTTAGGCTAGAATTTTGATTAAACAACTTTTCAGGTAGTCATTTACCTCAAGTTTTTTTAATTTTAACTCATGACAAGGATATGTACCTTCTCAGATCTGAGCTTCTGACACTTTTATCGTTTTTGCTCTTCCGTTAATTTTTCATCCGCCAAAAATGCCAACAAAGGATGTTCTGACAAACTGAACACTGAAGCAGCTGGATATGGTACATGTGATCAGTTTAGAAATGTATCATGTGCTGCGAGGTACAAGACCAAGGTATCATGAAAAGAGATCGAATCAGCACGCATTTTTTTCTATACCATTCTCTATACGTTTCCAAAGGGGCTGACATCATAAAGGCGCACAATAACAAGATGAAGAACGCTTAGGCAATTGAATTTGATTACACAAATTCGCCAGCTATGATTTAATATTCATTAGTTGGTTAACCTGAATTGAAAGTTGTTGTAACCCACCATTTAATGTAGGGGAACATACCACATCTTCAAATGCTTTTGTCTATGTGACACCTATTGTCAAATTTGTTGTAGCCATTATCTTGCCTTAGGAGAGCAGAAGTTTCCTTCTCTTTGAAGTTCAACTGTATAAAATGCGAGATATATTTTTACTAACGATATCTTCCTATTTGCGTTCACTTTAAAGTCACGCCCTTAATGAGATTTGCATTAAAACTTCCCGTGGAAGTTATTTTCTACGAACCGAGTCAGGTGTCACGAACATGTAAATTTTTTTTTTTTTTTTTTGTCTAATTGGTGTTCCTAGGTCACTTTTGATGGTCCCTCCGTCCAGTAGTGGGAAGAAACATCTGACTTTCTTTTCTTTAAGGCACAAGAAGAGCTGCAATGCTGTACCTTTCTGTCACCCACCATAACCCTTTGCATTTCATTAATTATATTTTGAAAGAAACGGAAAGCAGAATGATGGCACAGAAAGCAGTTCCATATCTCGGAAATTTCCTTTCAAGTAAAGTCTAAACTAAAGCGGACGTTTAATAACAAATAAAAGACATGCTGTCTACCAGAAATTGTCATCTAATCAGTAACGATTGATTTTCTTAAGTGGTAACATTAAGAAATGTCATTGGCATGATTTTCGTAATGATTATCTGCAGCAGGTTTTTAACAAAACAATGCTGTAAAACAAAATTTTATCACTCTAATCAGTCGCGATTGATTTTTCTTTCGAATTACGATTAGGAGTGTGGCATTGATTTCCAAATGTTATCAGCAGCAGTAACCTAACCAAACAATGTTTTTCAGAGTTGCATTCGATTTTTTAAGTTTAATTTTCTGAAAATAGAATGCAAACAAGAATTAATTCATGTAGAAACAGAAGACATGTCCTTTTACTATTTGGACATGAGATGCGATAGAAAAACTTTCTTGAATCACTTTTGAATAATGATCAAAGCCGTGTCACTGAACACGGCAGGTGGCTATGATATTCAGCATGAAAGCAAACTTAAGCGTCAAATCAATAATCAAATTATACTGAAAATGACTGAAATGAAACATTTCTTCTTTTCTTCTATTATTTGTTTTGAGTTGTAGAGATAAAGATTTTGTAACAAGACGAAAAACATCTTTCTCTATTTCTTACCGAGCTCAAAACTTACCATCCCTCTTATTCCTCTAACAAACATGGTGCTATTGACATTGCTGATCCTAGCGGTATGCAGGACGCGTCTCATATGAACTTTGTAGTAGACCTCACTCACCGTATGGTCTCTGTGCCTCAGTAGTACCTTATCCTTACTCCTGTTTTGGAATACCTCGTTATTAAGATGATTCACGCAGTTGAACAATTACTTTTGTGACATGTGTTTTGCTCGCATTGAGAATCTAATAAGTTCGACCCTAAGCAATTCAACTCTATAATCGCCTCTGTTCTTTCAGTCTTGTACCCAGTTAGTAGACTAGCGTAAGGTTACGCAAACGACTAAGTAGAGAACGTGAAATTTTACGAAGTCTCTCTTAAAACTGGGAATTGTAACCTTAACGACTTGCTTAAAGGATGGAAATTCCAGCAATTTCGCATCGCCTCTATTCAAAACCGCTTATCAAGTAGGCTGAAAGGCAGAGGTTTCTTATGAAACGTTTACTTTGTAAATTCTTCCCAAAGTTGACTTCTTTGCCTTGTGAGAGAGAAAACGGCCTCCGTTCATATCAATTGTATGGATACTACTATTGTGGTTTTTTTAAATTGCTGCTAACTTGGTACGCAAAATTTTCGTTGGCTCTATAGATCGGCGTAGGAGTTTTATTCCCAGTTAATGGGAATCAAAATAAAGCGAACAAACGCACAAACACAAACGCGCACACAAGAAATTTAATCAAGTGCACGTATTTAACGCACGCTAACGCTTGAACACACGCATCACCCACCCACCCGCTCGCTCGCTCATTCACTCACGCCCTGACTAATTGTTCAATTCGTCTGTGCTTTTTGAAACTTCATGGCACTGGATATTTCGCAAAACAACGTCAACTTAACGCGGAAATTTTCTTTGTGGAACTCGTTAAACAAGAGAATGTCGTGGAAATAAGACAAAGCTCCGCTGACCACATCCTGCAGCACGACCTACTACCCGTCCGGTTAGATCATTTGGGAGGGCCCGGATCGGTATCCGTCCGATTGGATTTCGACTACGGGGATAAAAAAACCAGGGGTGATCTGGTACTGGTTAAACAAGTATGATTGTGACTAGCAGAGAAAACTAGGTACTGATGTGAACGCAGAGGATTTCCCTACATTTGAGTATAACAAACTGGGCCACTTCGGTATAAATAATCACTACTCAACACTGTTTCTATATTTTACAATTTCATTTTGCTTAAGTGGTTCTACTTGGGTTCTTAAATCTCCCCTTTTGTGACCGATAGCTTATTCATAAGACCTGCTCACCAGCTGGCATCAATGGCGAGGCGAATTTTGTCTTCTGTTGTTATGGGAAATGTCAGTTAAGTGTTGCGAGTGGCTTTTTCACTTCGGTCACAGTTCAAATAAGGAATTTCAACCAGTGATCGGTAGCCAAGATAAACAAGGCGAGACCTTCCATAGGAAGCGGGGTGAATTGTTTTCTAATGGTGACATTATAGACCCGTTTACCGAGACCTTAGAAACAAAAACCGAGATCGCAACATCCGGGCTTGGCTCGCTCTCATAAAAAATGTTGAATCTATATCTTTAAAACCGAGCCTGCGACATACAGGCGAGAAATATTCAATACAAACACTCCAGCCTGATTAACGAGATAAGCAAAGAGGATTACGCCTAGCTAGTCTTAAGGTATTGGTAAACCTCTTTTGTCTTTTATAGTCATGGAAATCGTAAGATCTTGATTTTTGTTAGAAAATTATTTCTTTCTATTCCTTTGTATTTGTTAAACATATCAATTGGTGTGATATCACTATGCTAATATAACTACACGAATAAATATTTCTTTAGACTGGGATTCAGGCAGTTGATGCAGCTGCAAGCAAAATGAAAATAAACAATCAGAATTTTTCGGTTGCCAGTACTATCCACGGCTGATGTAAAACTGCAATCCGCACTCAGTCACCAGCACTTTCCTGCACGTTAGGCCCCTCACGGTGTATTCATTTGGCGCGTTCCCATTGGCTCCTTGCTCTTTTCTCCTTTGTTATGATTGCACATCGTGATGACTTTGGTTTGGCGACACTCAAAACAAAAGCGTTCTTAAGCGTATCTCATTTTCTCTTTCTCTCAATCTTACCGTCGTGTGTTCGGTAAAAGTTTTCTATCATATTTATTCCCCCACAGGAAACAAACAACTCACTGAAATTTGATACTACACTGGTTTAAACCAGACTGACTGTCACCAAGAGGTTACATTCTTAGACCCAACGTTTCGACACTCCTGTCTAGTACCTTTAATCAGGGGTGAAAGCCTGTATCCCTTAGCACTCCGCAAAGGCGGCCGAAATCTCAAACTCGATGGAAGCACAATGTTTTCATTGCATCGGTGATTGAAATACAAATGACAGCGATACTTAGCAATGCAGACTCTGATGTTCGCGAGTTGGTTGACCCTTGTAACACCAGCTTGACTAAATTTTTCTCGCAAATAAGATATATAAAAGTTATGTTATGTTGCAGCTTTTACATTTACAACATACCTGACATGCCTTGAAATGCTCAGATGGCATTCATCTTTTAACATTCAGATACCATTCATAAATAAAAAAATAATTCCAGAAACAACAAAACTTAGGGTACAGAGTAAAACAAGAAAATTGTTACCATGTGGACAAACTTCTTTCTTGCTGCACTTGTGATAAATAACTCCATCCTGGTCGAGAAGAAAAATCTGATCGGTTGCATTACAAGCCGTGCCTTCCCTTTTGGTGAAGATGAGAAAACTGCCGTCAAGCGGGGAACAACCTCCTTTGTTTGGGGCCACACAAAATTCACCGTAACTTCGTATTCCGCTCTCTAAAGAAGCACATCAAACAGTCGCTTCAATATAATGTACCCTGGTCGATACGCTATCTAAAAATACCACCATAGTGTAAACAGTATAGGGCGTGATGATTGCTTGCTTTGTTATGTTGGTTAAATTTGATTAGAAGGGTAAAGCCGCTATTGATCATGTACATTTTTGTGAATACGTAAGTCAAAACAATCATTCATCGTGAAAATCAGATGGCTTCATTTTATTTTACTTTGTTTTCATGGTTGCAACATCACGCCCTATATTGTTAATACTGTGGTGGCATTTTTAGGGTATTGACCAAGGTACATTGAAGTGACTGTTTGATGTGCTTCTTTAGAGAGCGGAATACGAGGCTATGATGACTTCTGTGTAGCGCCAATCAAAGGAGGTTGTTCCCCTCCTGACGGCAGTTATCTCATCTTCACCGAAAAGGAAGGCACGGCTTGTAATGCAACCGATCAGATTTTTCTTCTCGACCAGGGTGGAGTTATTTATGACAAGCGCAGCGAGAAAGAACTTTGTCCACAGGGTAACAGTTTTCTTGTTTTACTTTGTACCCTAAGTTTTGTTGTTTCTGGACCAGATTTGTCTGATTGTCCACCTGGTTGCCTTGTGAACTTTAATATATCTTATTTCCGAGAAAAATAAAGTCAAGCTGGTCTTACAAAGGTCAACCGACTCGCGAACGTCAGAGTCTGCATTGCTAAGTATCGCTTTCATTCGTATTTCAATCACCGATGTAATGAGGATACAGGTTTTCACCCCTGATTAGAGGCACTAGACAGTAGTGTCGAAACGTTGGGTCTAAGAAATGTAACCTGTGTGACAGTCAACACTGGTTTAAACCAGTGTTGTATCAAACCATGTCAAATTTCAGTGAGTTGTTTGTTTCCTGTGGG